CTGACGTAACGATTTATCTATATTGATTGATAATTAGTTTTTAATTATATATAAAGTTAAGCAGCCGTGGCGCACTTGCTTCAGAAACGTAAGATTCGTGGTTCAAACCCCACCTCTGGGCAAGTTTTGCGACATTGGTTAGGAAGGAGGCGTGAACTTACTATTAAATGCTCTTCCGCGATGCTCTGTGATAAGACCGTAAGGACTTCTTGGGGCACCTAAATCAACTTAAAAAAAAAAAAAAACATAGTGCTACTATATACTAGCATGAGCCGGTAATACAGGTTTTCGCATAATACAGGTGTGTGCTGGAATATTAGCTTTGAAAAATTTGTTGAATTTTGGTATAAACAGAATTCGTTCAACAATTACCTGGATTAATAACGAAATTTTTATTTAATAAATTGTGATAGTTAACTTGCGCTTTTAATTGTTAGTGAACTAATTTTAGTCTAATTTTTTTTACATCAATTAGGACTTACTTTAACACTATCGGACATGCCGAATGATTCTCAGCTTGATTATTAGTTATTATATGCTAGTGTGAATTTCTTTTCATAATGCGCTGGAATTAGTTAATTTTTTTAAATATGTTTTAAAGTAGGTTAAACTCTTACGTTTTTTATTTAAGTTAATACTTTTAAATATAGCCAGGCCCGTCCAGATTTTTTGCGATGCCCGGGTCTAAATATTTAATGAGTACCCCATCATACTGCGAATCTTAAAATAATAAATAGCAAACAAATTGGTATACTTGTTTTTTATTTGTTTTCATAGAAAATCTAAAATCACGTTGACATTATTGTAGTAATGTCATTTTCAAGGCCTTCTAGCAACAAAATTTGAAATAACTTCTTCATTAGACACGCTATAGGCTAAATTTGATTCTACAAAAGGTTCATTGATTAGCACAATTGTTTCTAATCAATTGTTGTTAACGAAGATTAATTGACAATAATCAGATTGCTAAAAGATCTTTTAACTTCAGAAGTTCAAACAGGCAATGTTAGAAAGATTCTGTGTAACACACTATTTGGCAAATGTTGAATGCAGTCCTGCAATATTTTTCATTTAAAAATTTAACAGGTTTTTGTGGTTTAAACCCAGAATCATAAAATAGCCAATTAGAATCTTCATTTCATCATCGAAAGTAAGTTCAGTGGATTGAAGATAAAGAATCATATTGTTAACTCCCATAAAACAACTAAACCAAAATATCGTAAAAATATCAAACTTAAAGGAATTCATTTACTTAATCAGATAATCTATTTCATCATAAAATTTATATCGAAGGTCAAACTCTTAAGTAATGTAATGCTTTCATAATCTCTCTTTGCTTTTTTGCAAGTGGCTTGACTGCATCAATCTTTGAGCTCCATCACGTTAGAGAAAGCTTATGCAATGATAGCTTTGTCTCTTATTAAATGATTTCCCAACAAACTGGACTGCAGCTCAACAGATGGTAGTTTTTAAATATTTTCAATATATGATTTCAAAGGAGCCAACGAATTAATAGCATGTGCACCACATAAGCAGAGTAAGGAATAGAATTTGCTTATCAATTTTTTGTCTAGACACCACTTGAACTCCGTTAAAATACCTGTCATAGAAGAGCCATTTTTGCAGCCCCTTTATTTTTAATGATTATTAAGGTACTTCGAGATGTCTTTACAGAATTATCACAGAGTACCGCGAAAGAGTATTTAACTAGTAAGTTTACGCCTCCTTTCTTATGAATGTCGCTTATTGGGCTAGAGCCGGCGTCGAACCTCGAATTTCTCCTGAGTCTTAACTCTAACCACTGTGCCATGCAGCAACTTATGTAAAAAGATTTTTGACAAAAGAAAAAAACACTTAAAAGAAAGTTTACTATTAAAAGTTGTTAAAAAACTAAAGGAAAAAGATGTGGGACGTAATTAAAGAAACTACTGTAACGTAATCGATTTTATTGATTTTATTATGTTTGATTTTACAACTAACAGTTAATTTATAATTATAAATTTGTTTGCAAAATTTTATTTTTAAAATGTTTAAACAAGTTACAAGTTACAAACAACAAGGTTACAAGTTACAAACAACAAGTTACAAGGTTACGAGTTACAATGTTAACAGGTTAAAAGGTTGAAAGTTACAAACAACAAGTTACAAGGCATATTGCCTAATGTATCGGTAGTTATAAATTGCTTTTTATTTTTACTTCCTAAAACATTTCTTCTATTTTTAAATATACTTTTCACTTCTAGTTATTTCCACTTGTTATTACACCATTTATTAATAAAGCAGAACTGAGTTTAAAAAACGAGCTGAAATTGTGACATTACACATAGAAGGTTATTCAACGCAGAAAATGGTTTAAACAACCAACGGTTCTCAAAAAGTACTCATGAATGCAAAGAAATCTTAAAACTTGCTGTAATCAGAGTCATTGTCATTCTGGGAGGCCTGGGAGCAATTTTTAATCATGAAGACAGCCTGTGTTAAAAAAAGTAAAAAAAAATTGTCAAAGTAAAAAAAAATTGTGATTGCACTGCTGCCAAAATTTGCAATAAACCATAGATTGAAAAAAAAGTCTACAAAACATTGGCTCTACGAAACCCCTGCGGAATAAATCTCTCTGAAAAAAAGCCCTTTGAAACATTAGCCCGTAAAAAACCTCTTCAAGAAAGATTCCCCTATGTAAAAATCACGCTTAAAAAATACCCAAGGAAAAAAAATCCTTTCAAAATATAATTAAAAAAAAAAAAAATTCTTTTAATTGTTAGATTGCCAATCCAAACCAAAAATCCATAGTCAATATAGCTGCCCTTCTTACATATTCTTCCTAATTGTCAGCTAATGTAGCGGTATTTCTTGCATGTTCTGCATATTTTACAGTCGATATATGAACACTCCTCGCATGTTCTACCTATTTGTAGTCGATGTGTGTACACTACTTGCATGTTATAACAATTTGTCAGTCAATGTATAAAAAATGAAGAGTTAAGGTTTTGCTTGTAACATGATATGTATGTATAAAATATTTATATTATAAACAACTATTATATTGATATATCGTAACTTTCATGCAATGTAAAAAAAATATTTTTTTAAAATTTCTTCTGGGGAAGAAATTTTACCAAAAACCAAAAAAAATCCTCTCTCTATCTCTCTCTTAAAATCCCTCTCCTCCCTCCTCTCTCAATATCCGTTGTCTTGAGACAACGGATATCGAGAGAAACCGAGGTATCTTTATATCTAATGATCTAAAATGGAATCAACACATACAGTTTGCAACACGTAAATATGATACTTGGCTTAATTAAAAAAAAACTTCTTTATCTTCCTCAGAAACGCGCAATCCGTATAATCAATTTTGCAAATCTCTTCTCTCATTCGAAGCATTATTTTATTGAAATGAGAGTTCTGAATGTAATACGAGTTAAATGTATTTGATATTTTATGTTTTGCATATATATATTATAGCTGTCTTCAAAGATCTTTTCTCTATTAAAACAATTAGTAAATACATTTTGAGAAATAATAACTTTTTAAATCAACCTATTTGTCAAAAAAACCTTAATCAATTCTGTATTACTTAATCAATTCTGTATTATCAAGCGCCACACCTTTGGAGAAAATTGTTTTGCCGAATTTCAATTTTGAAGTATCTAATACTTTTTGCATTTTTTAAAAAAACTGAAAAACCTCATTCTAATATATTGAGTTATTATTAGTTGTAAAAGTTAAAAATATATTTTGGTCTACGTTTTTATTGTTTAAATGCATGTTTACGTTTATTGAAGTTTATTCCTACTTATTTTATTTATTTTTCTTAGACTTTTTACTTTTTAATTTATATGTTGGTAAATTCCGATAAGAAGATCCTCTTAATCTTTTTTCAGACACAGATTATTTACCTTGCAATTTTGTAAAAGTTTATTAATATTTTTTTATCTTATCTTTGTTAAAATGCTTATTTAATGTTCTGACGACAAGATCTTTGCGATCTTTTTCAGATACCTTGTTTATATTTGTTTATATTTAAAAACATTTAAATCAAGAGAAATGAAACTTTGAAGTAATCTATACACTATGTATGTTAAGCAGCATCTGGAATTTGCTATCCCAATATGGTACCCTTACTTAAAAGGTGACAAGAAAAAAGAAATTGAAAAATTTCAGCTTAAAGCAACAAAAGTCCCTCATGATTTAATAGGATTACCTTATGATGAAAGGTGTCGGCGTCTCAATTTTACTACTTAGAAACTTACCGGCAACGTAGCGACTTGATCCAACAGTTCAAACTTAAAAACCGTTTTGAGATCATCAATTCGCATAATCCGCCTATTCGCTGATCACCGTCCAACGTCCTAAAATCGTATTGTTAATGATTTGAATAACTGACCGATAGCATGCAGAGCCCGTCAGTTAATGCGTTTAAAAACAGAATTGACAATTATGTTTTTTTTTTCTACAACTTGCAAACAGTACATCTTTAATTGAAGATGAGCTACACGTTAATTAATTAATTCGTGTTTTAACATGTACATATATTTACTTTTTAGATACAATTTTTATAAACGTAAACTTTAATTAAAATAATTTTTTTCTATTTTTCTCAGTTTTGATATCAACTTACTTGCTATGAAATAACAAAGGCTTTTTTTTTTTTACTTAAAGTTTATATTTTTCAAACCATAAATTTTTGTATATATATATTGGTTTTTTTTCAATTATTTGTCACGTAATCTAAAGACTTATTTAAATATATTACTTTTATTGTATTAAAAAGACCTTCATCAGAAAAAGGATTGACATTTACTAGTGGTATTTCCAAATAAACTTCTAAAATTTTACAAAACAAAAAATCCAAGGAGTAATGCTATCCACAAAAACAAAAACGATTAAATTTATTTATTCTTTAAGTATGACTATGAACGTTATGTAATATAATATTATACAAAAAATTGTTTCCGTGTTTTGAATTAAGCTATAATATATTGTTCAAAACTACTTAATTACAATCGACACGCGTCAATGGTGAATTGTGTGCTAAACATTAAATACATCTTTTCTGAAAAGGTTTCGTTTTCTTTCTTTTCATTTACAAAAAGTATTTCTCGATTGAATTGTGTTAACAATTACTCTCAAAGTAGTTTGAACAAGGTGTTTATCAAAATATATGGTGATATTACTATTCTTAACTTAAATAGAACTAATACTATAAAACCTCAGTCTTTAGTGCTATTTAGACACAAAAGCCAAATGGATGGAATTAAAGATGAAGATTCTACTAAAACTGCTGCTCAACTAAAAAAGGATGCTAAAAAACTTGCTAAATTAGAGAAGTTTGCAAAAAAACAAGAATCAAAGCCAAAATCTAAAGTTGAGGTAGATATATTATACTTATAAACAATAATATCATAAACATTTCGTAAAAAATCTTTGCTGATCCTTTTGACATAACTGACTTACTCAAAAATTACATATAACTTATGTGTAAAAAAATGTATAAATAATTTTATCTATTATGTATCTAGGGTTTAAGTATCTGTACCAAAGGCATATTGCTACATGGAGATAAAGTTCTAAAACACAGATGATTTTTAATTGAACTCTTGTCGTAATTTTTTATTATCAAGCCGTTTTTTAAATCCTTAGGATCATTCTGTAAAGAGCTTCATGAAATACATTAAAAGGATTAATTTTTCAGTTAAAAGTATGCATTTTTTTCTCAGTCCATAATCAATGACAGTTTTCCTGGATTAAGGCATGTTATCATCCTGTTTTTGTTAATTATTGTTATATTTATAAACAATATTGTTATACAGTTAATAAAAGAAAACCAATCAAGAAATATTTTGGGTTAAAAAAATAACCAATTTTCATTCAAAACACGTTGATCCAACAGTAACACAAAAAAACATTTTGGGTGTCCTTGCTATCCTTTTTGACCACTTAGAGATGTTTGAAAATGTTGATTAAATCTAGCTGCTTTGCTGAAGTCTGAAGCTAGCTTGACTCTTATTTAAGAATAGTCATTAATAGAGTTGTCAGATGTCCAACATTTACAAAGTAGAACGCAGTAATAATTTTTTTTTTTAATTTTTCTCTGTAAAAGCTGGATGACTATGCAGAGGCAATTTACAAAGTCATTTATGCAAAGTTCCAATTAATTTGCAACCTTGTGATTTAAGTTACATCTGATGACTTCAATCTTCAGGTCAGTAAACACATGGGAGAGTAGAACTTCACCAATGTGGTGGTGACATCCAGACCAAAGAACAGCATACTGAAGTTTATCTTGTATGGCAATGCAAGCTGCAGATAAGTGACCAGTGTTTGAGTTTGTTGTGTCAAATGTGATGTTAACAATTTGATCATTCCAATCTCACTCGATCACCAGCTTGCTCAGCAATCTAGCTCAGCAATGATTTCTCCAACTTTTTTATCCGTCTTGAATCACCAATAATTCATGCATTCTTCAGAAGTATGCAAATGTAAAGTCGTAGATAATGTTGCGATACCACTATGCATGTATTGTTGCAGTAGTCATTTTTGCAGTAGTCATCATGCATCTCAAACTTGTAAGCAAGTTTAATGTCTGCAACCAGTGGTTGTTGCATTATCAAAGCAGTTTGCTGGGTCAATGCTGAAAACCTCAGCAGCCTAATGAGTCGGTGGTCGCTGTTTTGAGTGTGATACAGGAGTATTTAATGGACATAACATTGAAATAGTATCAGTCATTTTTTCCTTAGGCAGAGGTACCAGTAATCCAGGTGGAGTACAAGTTGTTAAATCACAGGATACTTTTATTTTAAGATATTAGAGCAGCCGTGGCGCAGTGGTTAGAGTTCTGGCTCAGAACCCAGGCGTCCGAGGTTCAACGCCAGCTATAGCCCAACAAGCGACATTGGTACAGAAAATCAAGTAAAAATTATGTAAAAACCATTAAAATAATTGCGCAAACTAATTAAATTTTATTGCTATTTTAAAAAACAAAATCACAAAAAATGCAGCTAAATAGGCTAGAATGTTGTTTGTTTTTTTACAAAAACAAAAGCATTTTTATGTGAGTTTTATTTATGTATGTATGTATATATGTATGTATGTATGTATGTGTGTTAGTGATGTACCGATAGCACATTTTTGGCCAATGCAGATAGCAATGCCGATGGATGGGAAAAGGCCGATACCTAGGCTGATACCAATGATTTAACTAATTACTAAAATTTTGAAAATATAAAACCATACAACTTAAAATTGTGTAATCTTTTTCATGGAATCAGTATTGATAAACAAATACTTGGACCCAAATTAGAGCCAAACCATTATTTTAAAAGGTATTAGAAAAATATCTTTTAAAATAATAATAAAAAAATATACATTTTTATGTTTTGTTTACTATGAAAGGAAAACTTCCAAAAAAATAAATTTAATTTTAGAGGAATACTTTTTATTTCAATTTTAAAAAGAAAATGGTACTATCATAAGCAGTTTACTTAAAATTCTTTATTAATTTTTTAGTAATTTAGATATCTAAACAAAAATCATATGTTGTTTAGATATTTAAATTATTTTTAGATAATTAAATTGTTTTAGGAATAATTTAGTTTTGTGATGTTTAATCCTTACCACATCCCTGGTACCGTGCTCAACTTGATTCTCCATGAAGCGGCCTTGTTCGTCTAGGTTTGTGTTTCAGAGTTATAAAGTTGAGAGATGGTTGTAACCACAAATAAAGTAGCCTCCTCGACTGGAGTGGCCTTCATAGTTTTGGGAAGGTAAATTGAAATAAAAAAAATAAAAAATAAAAATAAAATGTAGAAATATAGTAGGCTATACTTAATAAGAAATATAGTAGGCTATACTATAATAAGTATAATATAAGTATAATATAAAATGGCAGATGCAGATACCAATTCCAAAAAGTGGCTGATTAAGTTGATGTTGATGTCAATTAATTGGTACATCACTAATGTATGAATGTATAGTAAGTGACTGAGGTTGAGTTTTGACTGGGATTGGGGCCGAGTTTGGTAAAATATAGCCTGGGCCAGTCTTGTGACCACGGCTGCATAAACAATTATACATCATAAAGTATATTTTTTTAAATTCAAAATTCATGTTATTTTGTATAAATATACATATATAAACATCACAATCAATATGATCATCATAATCATCATTACCATCATGATTGTGATCATCATGATCATCATTGTTATCATCATCATCATCATCATCATCATCATCATCATCATCATCATCATCATCGTCATCATCATTATTGTCATCATCAGGGATAAGTCTTCCTTTTTTAGAGCATTTTCTAGATTAATAGTACAATCTAGAGCATTTTCTTTCCTTAACTAAACCTCATTCATACAATATATAAGGTACTCTCTTCAAGTCTTCTTACTTCTACCACTACCATTTTCTCCTGAAGCTGCTACCTCTCTACATGCTGATACCTAAATCACTTTAATTTTCTCTAACAAACTTTGTTCAATAAGACGTTTTTTTCTAATCTGTCTAAGACTATGCCTCCTTTTCTTGTTGTGTTAGAGTCTCACCACACATCCATCTGACCATCTTCTCTTTCAGCAAATTCTACACCATAAAAATACTTAAGTTTATATAAATATGAAAGGATATTGTTTGCCAGTATCTAAATAAATAGCAAACATATATGTTTATATCTATAATATGTATGCATAAAGTGCATTTTGGAAGTCTCTTCAATATGAAGTCAACCCTCATTCTACTCCCAATTTTTTACCATCTTGAGCAGTTGCTTTATTAAACATCTTTCTTATAAACAAATGTTTTTTTTATTATTCCAAGAAGCCAATGTAAAAATGTCATGTCTGATGTTAAGCTCTGTTATTCTCAGTTTATTAAATCTTGTATCTAAGATGTTAGGTTCTAGAGACTTTTGGTAAGTCATTGACAGTGTCATTAACTAAAGTATACCTAACATTTAATCTCTAATTCATGGGTCTATTTTTTTTACTTCTCCCCAGAATAAGGGAGAGTTTTTTGCAAAGAAGTCTTACTCTATTTTAACTCTTGAATCTAATGACCACACTCCTGCCAGTTAAACAGATTAACCCATTGTTAAACATCAAAATCACTAGGGCTTCTAATGCTAAAGTTAATTCTCAATTAAACACTATTACAGTTTATTCTCCAGACAAGATTTCCATCACAGTCTTAAAAAAGTGTTCTCCAGAATTCTCTTCAATTTTTGCTGAACTTTTAAAAAGTGCTAAATAAGTGGTTCCAATTTTTCTAAATTCTTTGTTATTTGTTTCTTTATGTAAAGTTTTTGAGATTATTAAATTATTTCTTTTTAACTGCAGTATTAAAGTTATTCTTGAAAGCTCCTCTTTTTTTTTTTTTTAGGTTTCCATTTCAAGTAACTTAAAAGGTATCACAAAGTTCTTTGATCCTGTAATGTTTCTTATCTACAATAACAATCTTCATGAAAATTTTACATCTAATGTGCCTCTTGCTGAAAACTCAACTTTATATTCTTGTCTTGTTCGGCTGCATGTTCTAAGCAATCAAAAAAAACTTTTTTTTGATTGCTTAGAACATCCAGCCGGTTTTTAATGTGATCTCTCTTCTGCAACAGCCTAAGGCTTGCAATGGCTTGTGGATTTAAATTGTGGATATACAATCCACAATTTTTTTAGGCCACAAAACTCATTTATTTACTGCAAAAAAATATTGCAATATTGTTGGCATTCCTATATTGCTGAATTACAACCCTCTTGCTCTTAGACAAAGTCTAAAAGCACATTGTAAATCTA